CTTCTCAGTTTGATCATTCTATTCCGCATCAAACCTCAGGTAATCATGCGAGAAATTTTGGCTTTGCTCCTAAAACTGAGTTTCCGTTATTCAACGGTACATGCCCTAGACAATGGATACAGAAGTGTGCGCGATATTTTGAGCTCTGTAAGGTAGAATCTGGACAGAAAGTGGAAGGCTTTCAAATGTTGCTCTACAGCCTTTCTCAATGTTTGAATATAGTTAAAAATTAAAATTTTAATAGCCCAGGCCGCCTTTGGTCACGCATACTGGGTAAGCGGGACGTTTTAGTTACGCCTTGGGCCTAGGCCCGCCTTTTCGGGCCTTGTAGAACACTGCGTACATATATAAAAGTGCACAATAAAAAAATTAATTCATGTCCTTAAATGTCATTTGACAAGTTATCAGTAATTGAAAAGAGTCATGTTAGCCAACGCCATTTTATAAACTGCTAGTAATATCAGCTAATCAAAATAGCCAATAAAAACTGCTATCATAAATCAGCCAACACAACCAGCCAACCGCGAACAGCCGATTTCCAAACACCCCCAATATATTAAAATAGTTAAAATAGTCATTTACAAGAACTTCAGCCAATACAACAAGAAAAGTAACTCTAACCTTACTTTTTCTGTTTATGAATAACTCAGAGCACGAAAGAAAAAAATATGTGTTTCGTGAAAAAGTTGAATGATAAGTCTGATAAGCCGAAAATTACTGTTGTCAAACGGCCTCTTGGTTTTCTACTTGACCCGGTTGACCGTATTTAATGGGAAGTTTAAACCCGGCCCATATATGCGCTGTGAACCCACCCGATTAGCCGAACGTGTTCGCTTCTCCTTAGCAGGTCTCCACTCTCGCTAGAATCAGGGGCCTTTACTGTCAATTGCTCTTCGCTTTTTCTCTGATTCAGATGGTCATTTACAGAGGTCTTCGAGTAGTCGACCGTATTGCTCGCCGCTTTGTCACCGGAAAGATCCCACATATTTCTGTAAGAATTCTGTCAACTTTCGCCCTTCTATCCTTCTCCCCTTCTCCGTACATGTCAATTTATCTTTTTTTTTTATGATGGAATAAATTAATGATATAATTTCAGGTCCGTAGGAGTTATAGCACGGAAAATTGCTGCATAAGTAATGTCCTACTTACTTCCAATTCTCGACATGGTATGTGAAACTTGGCCTTCTCTTAGTTATCTATAAGAAGTTGGCATATACGAAATTTTTATTTTTCGTTTTTGCTTATACTTGATTTCCCTCTCCTTGATCAACTCATTTCTCATTAGGTATTTTATCATTCATATTTATAAGGGAATTGAGTCTTTTGAGCTTCCATGCGAGGATTTACTTTTATGTTTTTTAAGTCGCATTTTTTATATCTATGTTTAGAATACAGGTCAGCAAGAGAGTGTTACCAAGTACTCGGTTTGAGTGGGAATTCAGCTAGATTGCTGAGAGAGGAGCTATGTCCCAGGGTATGGCTATGAATTCTTTTATGCAATGGGATTATGGGAATTATTACCCTGGTGATTTGGAAGTGTTATATTGTGGAATTGATTTGGTCATGGTGAATGTAATTTGTTAAGTGTTTTTATGCTATGGAAGCTAAAAGGGATCCTTTGTCCGAAAAATATGGTGAGCATGACAACATGCTCACTGTGGAGGACATTGGCGTGACAAATGGGTAGATTCTCTCATTTTTTATTACTTCAACTTGCTCCATAGTGAGCATGTTGACCTGTTCACTAACTTTATTCCTCATTTGTCACCATTTCATATTTATCCTATTATTTTGATTTCCACAATACAACTATTGGAAATGAAGGTTTTCTTGAGAAATTTTGTTCTTTTACTGTTCGAATTTCAATGGCATTTTGAATAGCTCTGCAGTCTGAATGAAAACATAGGATGATAAATTGATAATGAATCCTACATTCCTACTAAATTTGCAAAAGTAGCTGTATTGGATAATATATGACTGCCTCGTTGTGTATGCTTTTTACCATTTCTATGATAGACTTGATTATAGATTTTATTCATGGGCTAATCCTTTTTTTTATAAGTTTGATAAATTCTCTTTAACTCTTTCTATTCCTTACCTTGATTTTCTGTTCTTGTAAAGTGCCAATTGGGAGCAGGCTAACATATGGTTCATTCATACTTTTTTTACTCTTGGAGAAATTTCTCACTAATTGTGATTTTAAAATAACAATTAGGTGGAGTACTGTTATTTTATGTGCATAAAATGTAGGAAAAAGGATCAAATAATTCCTTTTACTGTTTCAAAACCATCACATAAACACATATGCTAAATTAATTATCATAAAAATCTATTATCTATGTACTCATAAAGAACTGTCATTTAACTAATGTAACCGGAAAGGGACCTAATTTACTAGGTCATAGTTATATGTGGCAGTTTTCAAAATGCCAAGTCAATCAATCTCGTGGCGTGGTGTTTTCTCATTTTATTTCTTGTTACCTATTCTTTTCCTTTCTTTGGACTGGTTTCTACGGAATGTTGAAGATTTTGATTTGCTAGTTAGCTTCTTTTGAAGCATACAAAGAACCATGTGCGGTCATTGATAAGTGAAGAGGAAAACTCCAGCTATGATTACAATTTCTGCACGTATGCGAATTAAAACCTACGACCTTGGATCTTCACATCTACAATCTTCTCTTTCCTCTCTGATGCTGACCTACGAGGCGATGCAGGAAATATGTTGTAGACCTTTCACACCCTAGGAGAGCATCAGTGATTTGGTCCCAGCGATGAATGATTGTAAATCCGGCGTGAGAATTGAACTATAATGCGTCCAAAGCGTCTTCATTCACGTTGCGTTTTCATTGTTTGAAGCTTCGTTCTTTCAATGGTAATTTCAGTCCTGTGAAGAAAGAAGTAAATTACCATAAATCATTTTTCAGCCTTGTAAAGAAAGCTGCTACAGTGCTGTTTAACTGAGTCTCAACTCCCAGCCTATTCACATTCGTTATTGTAAGGAAAAGTGTAAGAAGATGGCTAATCTTCTCGTCAATAATTTAGGAAGAAGAAGGGCAGAGGGATGTGCACGTGAGAATAAGAAAAATGCACCACAGTATTTTGTTGGGCTTAAATTTTTTTATTTAAAGAAAAAATCCATGTAAACACATTACCGGTTCAATTGACGATTTCTTAATAGTAAGCAAGGTCATATGACACTTTGTTTAGCATATGGGGTTATGTGATGTTTTTGAAATGGTAGAAGGGCTTATTTGTTCCTTTTCCCTAAAAATATTCAGATGCGGGAACATTTTTGTACAGCAGCAGAAAATAAGGACACAGACAAAGCAGTTCAGCAAGAACAAAAGTATGTTTACCTTCTTTTATAGATAGTACCATTTTTATTCTTATTTTTTGAATAGATAACAAAGGGCTGTTTCTTAACTAATACTTGGTCAATTGACTCAACTTAACGATGAGCCTTATTGTTTAAGTATTCCTGTTCAGTACTTGGTCAATTAACTTAACATACTAGGCATGGATAAGTCCTGCTTTCTTTCCAGTCTTTAATTGATAACACAATACGGAGTATTATTTTAAAATTAAGTTGGGCATGGTTACAAGATAACTAATGTAATCCGTTTGTAAATTCTTATCGTGTCTCTGACAATCTAATAATCTAATACTTTGTATAAATTGAAACACCCCGCTCCCTGCTGAATCTCAATTTACACAAATTACAGTTACATGCATGTTTTGGTAGTCTATACTCTAGATACCTTGTCCCTGACATCTTGCTGTTATTGTGGAAAATGATTTACCTGGAATCTACAATATTTTTCCAAATCATCTGAAAAACTTATTCACGTGTTAAAAAATGATTGTGATGGTTTGTTTGCAATTTGCAGAATTTCTGTGACATTTGTAGATAAGGATGGAGAAGAACAACAGATAAAGGTCCCCATTGGGATGTCTATCTTGGAAGCGGCACATGAAAATGACATTGATCTCGAAGGTAACCTATAGTGGAATTTCTCTTCAATGCGCTTTCACAAAAGTATCTCTTTCTTGTTTTTGTGAAGGAAACAAACAGGAATCATAGGCAAGTTATGTCATATAGTTGATGTAGCCTGTAGGTGTCTTAATGGGTCTCTGATTCTGTTTTAATCTTATGCAACAGGAGCTTGTGAAGGATCACTTGCATGTTCCACTTGTCATGTAATTGTTATGGTATATAAACACACCTCTATATTTTCTTTTTGTTGATCAAGGGGCGACCATTTCTCAGATTTATTTCAAAAATTGTGCAATCAGATTAAGTTTACTTGTCTTTTATTTATCTTTTGGCCCACTTTGGTAGGATATGGAGTACTACAACAAATTAGAAGATCCAGCTGATGAGGAATATGACATGTTAGACCTTGCTTTTGGGCTCACAGAGACGTAGGTTCCTCTTTTCTGATCAGATTTGTACTTTTTAATTTTACTTATTGGCTCACCTCGCGTATGTTTTTATTTTTCCTCCATCAATAACAGATATAAATTTTTTTTTGCCCGCAGGTCTCGCCTTGGGTGTCAAATAATTGCAAAACCTGAACTGGATGGGATTCGGTTAGCTATACCCGCAGCAACCAGAAATTTTGCTGTTGATGGATTCAAGCCAAAACCACACTAGTCCATGAATTCATGATAGATGAGAGAAAAATATCAATAATTTATGTAATATTTTAACTTAATGAAACTTGATTTTTATCTCAATGGCATAGTGAGTTATTTTGCCAGTTTTGCTTGTATTTACAGCTTAGTAATTCAAGTTTTCAAGTTGTTCTATAAACAATCGAATAAGAGGTGAACTAATTTTGATTGGTAATGGCATGATTTTGGTCTTTTGGATTCATTCAAGTAGCATCGAACTACAAAGTCTACATTGAAATATTGAATTAGATTAACCTGGTTTCGAACATTGTGATATCATCAAACTATTTAAAAATTAAGCAGCATGATATTGTATAGACAGAAGTGAGCACTTCAATTTCATGATATTGTTCCCATGATTTCCAATACCACACATCACACATGTACTAACATGTTTCCCAATAATTGGGTGTTTACAAAAAACAAGAAGCTTTTTTCCCTACAAAAGGGTGAAGTTATATCCGACCCTCGGCATTTCCTACATAGTTTAGACACAAAGATGACACTACTCTGCGCCATTTTCATCTGCTTCATTGACTCTTATAATGTAAACCTGGACATTGAAAGAGGACACAGTAAACCATTACTAATAAATATAGACAGAATATAATAAAACATGGGAGGCAAACAAAACAACATCAGCTTAAAGTTTGTGATTGATTAGTATACAATCTTTTATTTGAATTATAACTTACAGGTTTGGTGGGAGCCATTTATGTATGGTCTACATTGATCTGGTATTACATGTTCTTTTTTATATAATATATAAGTCTAGTCAAATTTGATCTATTTAGACTATTCTGTATGTTAATGTTTGGTTTAAGGATGAAATAGATGTAAGCAAACATGTCTGTTTATAATATTTAATACTGGACTGATTTCACTTAGTTAACCGTATGACACTCAGGTCAAAACAAATTAAAAGATTGAATCAAATATCATCTCCTTATACACTCTCATATAAACTTCATTATCTTTTTCCACCCACAACCCCACACCCCGTTAAACCCTTATTTCATCTTAAGGCTACAAATATATGGTTCTTGTTACTTCCTTTTAGTCACATAATTTTACCTTTCTTAGTTCATATGCCAAGTCAAAAGAGTAGTTATTTATAAGAGAGAAAGAGTAGCTTATTATTCTCTAAAGATGGGATTCTGACAATTACCTTAAACACAGTAGGCTGAATCAAGTGAAAAACCAGAGCATCCCCATCAACCAATTCATGCTCTATAGCAAACCCCCTCCATCCCCCACTAAGACCAGTCTTCGAATGCAAGTATTTGGCTTCACTTTCATCCCCATTTTCATCTACCAGAGTTATCATCTCATCATGCTTTGGCAGATAAGTTTTGCAGAAATGAACTGGGAGTCCCTATGTAGATACATATAATTCACACCCAGCAAAGATAAGTTTTTTTTTTGTTTTGTGGGTTGAATATATAATGAAACAACCATGTTTGGGCTGAGATGTTTTACCAGCCAAAAGCCACCAGTTACATGGGACTGAAGCATGGGTTTGACAAAGCTTGGTAATTCCTTATCCAACCCTGATTCTAAATCTTCTGCTCTTTGAAGAGCATACATTCTATCATCATCAGATGCATAAATCCGGTTCAACAAATCTCTTCTTTTGTAACTACAAGTAAATTCCAAAGCAAAATGTATTTAAACCACAAAAAAGAGTCATCAAAATATCAAATATAACAAGACCCTCTGTCAAACTACCTTCTCCTTCCAATCCCCAATGGTTCAAGTCCAATCTGCAGAAAAAATTAAACAGTGATGATTAAGGACTTAAAGAAAGTAAAAGGCACAGCTTTGGGGAGGTAGAAAGCTGACTTCTTTGTAGCAAGGAGCCGGCTTATCTGCGACGCGGCTCGACCTTCTCACAGCCGTCAGCTCAAGCGGCAGCTTAACCCGCGGCTTCGTCTTTTTCATCTGCAAAGTTAAAGATTTCAACTTTATGTAACCATTAAAAGGAAGGAGGGGCGGAAAAGATGGTTGAAATTACCGGGGAGGGTTTAGGGGAGGTTCGGAGAGCTTGAGCTAGCTTGTTGAGGTTGAGCTCAGCCATCCTCTTCTTGTTTTCTTCGAGCCGCTTCTGGCGGCATTCCTCGTACCCCACCACCTTCTTGGGCTCCACCATTTTGGGTTTTGTCTTTCTTGCTTTCGTTTCTGTGCTTCTACTAGAACTGGTGGGAAGAAGAAAGAAAGGCGGAGAGTTAGCTAAGGCGAGAGTGAACTGGGGAAGATGAAAAAGATGGCGGTTTCTCCTTCCAGTGGGGTCCAGTTTTAATGGATTTGAATTTCAAATACTCTCTGTAAGGCTGTAAGCTCAAGCGATTGGACAGGTCTTTAAAAACCTGACCCGACCCGATTAAGTGAACGGGTTCACTCTTGAACCCAATCAATTTCGGGTTCTTCCGCCAATACTATTTACTCCGTATAAACAAAGTAGGATCTTAGGTACCTTGTATTCTCATGGCAGCACTTTGTCACTTTCACAGGTAAGATCACGGGTTCGAATCTCATTTAAGTTCGACAATGTTGATTTTAACAGAACAGATATTATAATAGGTTAGAAAGATTTGTAAAAAAAAAAATAGAATGAAAAATAATTATTCTTCACAACAATCAAATACGAGTAATAAATAGTACTCCGTAAATAGTACTCAGTAATTGTGATAGAACTGAAAACATACGCATAACATTTCAAAACGTAAGTTTGTTCCTTTTGTGATGATACCTGTCTCAATTTAAAGTTTTATTTCCACTTTAAACGTAATGATGTCTTTTTGTATCACTCAGCCTTCATAGATACTCAAATCATTTTCCAAAATCTTTTACAAAGAATATTATACAAAACTACAGAAGATACCAAAACGGCGAAGCAAAACGACAGATCTGAGATCCTTTTGTTATAATCAGTCACAGATTATGTCATTCATACAACCCAAATTATTTTGTAAAAATAGTCTTTCCAAGTCAATTATTACATAATACAGATAACATGCGCACCAAGAACGTTACATTAACTCTGGGAATAAACAAAAGATCTATCAAAAGCAGGACTTCTGAGGTCAATTAATATCACTCAGCATTCATGGAAATCAATACAAAATAGGGGAAAAAATAGGGGAAATACCAAAACGACGAAACAAAAGTATAGAAGTTAGTCTGTGTTCTTAGCCGTAGTTGGGGTCGAATAAGGCTTCCTCGGCCAAATCACACACTGACTTGACCCTTTAAGCCCTTTGTTCAGCCGTAGTAATGCTCAGATACGACTGTTTACAAAAGAAACGGTAGCAAGCTATGGCATGCGTATGAATTACAGAGAGGTAAAGAGAGAGATTAGGGTTGCAGTCATCGGAATGGCTGATGGTCTGCGTAAAAAGCCAATGCGTGAATCATTTCTACGAAGGGTAATGAGGGTTTATATGGACAGGGTTAGGTTAGGTTGTTGGGGTATTGTTGGGTTCCATTAATTTGCTACTGGGCTAGGTTTTAATTTTGATGGGCCGTTTGAGGGTGGCTATCATTCAGAAAATGGAATGTTGCATTATGAAGCGTAAAATAATAATAATAATTATTATTATTATTATTATTATATCTGTAAATAATTATTATATTATTATATATTATATGCCTTATGTAAATTAAGTATTATATATGTAATTAAAAAAAATATAATTATAAGTTTTTTTATTATTATGACAATTGAGGTTGATTATTAGCATTAAAACATTGGGTAAAAATTCCTAATATATTGGTCAAATAAAATTCATGGATAAAAATATAAGCAAGGTTTGATAGGAGTTCAAATTTTTTTCATCATATTTATATTACTGATATTAATGTCATAAATATCAAATTTAATATGGTTAAATGTAAATTTATATATTTAATAATGTTCATTATTATATGATGAATTTGAAAATGTTGTACATGTGGTTTATCTTCAACATAAAATTTTGATCCGAATCGCACGAAACATGCACTGCAGCATGATATTACTGATATAGGTTGTCATCGCATCACAACATCAAATTAAATGAAGAGACAAGCCTATGTAGCAAGTTACTTGAAAAAACAAGCGGTAACTATTTTGTTATCTTTTAAAATGTTGAACTTATTGTAACATGTTATTATTGTGGTCTTATTTCATGATATTATGATTAGATTACATGATTAAGCATAAATTACATTTTAATATTTGTTAACATTAATATTTGTTAAGCATCAAATTTGGCCAATGATAATATTTCTATAATTTAGGGTTATTGTTGGGTTCCATTAGTTTGCTACTGGTTTGGGTTTTAATTCTGATGGGCCGTTTGAGGGTGGCTACTATTCAGAAATTGGAATGTTGCATTATGAAGCGTAAAATAATTATTATATCTGTAAATAATTATTATATTATTATATATTATATGCCTTATGTAAAATAATTATTATATATGTAATTACAATTTTTTATTTTTTTATAATTATAAAATTATAATTATAATTATAATTTTTTTTATTATGACTATTGAGGTTGATTATTAGCATAAAAACATTGGGTAAAAATTCCGAATATATTGGTCAAATAAAATTCATGGATAAAAATATAAGTAAGGTTTGATAGGAGTTCAAATTTTTTTCATCATATTTATATTACTGATATTTATGTCATAAAGATCAAATTTAATATGATTAAATGTAAATTTATATATTTAATAATGTTCATTATTATATCATGAATTTGAAAATGTTGTATATGTGGTTTATCTTCAACATAAAATTGTGATTCGAATCGCACGAAACATGCACTGCAGCGTGATATTACTGATATAGGTTGTTCTCGCATCACAACATCAAATTAAATGAAGAGACAAGCCTATGTAGCAAGTTACTTGAAAAAACAAGTTGTAACTATTTTGCTATCTTTTAAAATGTTGAACTTATTGTAACATGTTATTATTGTGGTCTTATTTCATGTTATTATAATTAGATTACTAGATTAAGCATAAATTATATTTTAATATTTGTTAACATTATATTAGTGATTTTTGTTTATAAGATAAAATGTGTGTATCCTATAATAATGAATAGATAGGGACAATACAACTTTAGGGCTGTTGACTGTTTATTTGTAAATGATAATCAAATTTGGCTAATAATAATATTTCTATACGAAATTAACTTTAAAATGAAGAAATTTTACAAATGTTTTTCTAAATTTGGACGAAGTGAAAATGGTTTGATTTAGTATTAGTACATTACAATAAATAAAATACTTTTAATATAGATGAACGAAAAGTTGAGTTTAGTGAAGTATTATTGTTGAGTTTAATCCAACATGATATAGTAAATATATACGGAGTATATAAATGCGTATGAAACTCGGTTTTTACGTGGAAACCCGAAAGGGAGAAAACCACGGGACTTTTTAGGCTAATGTCCAAGCACTCTCTTTCTCATTAGGACTCTCCTCACCATTACAAAGTACATGTATTGAAGCTCTCATTAATGGAGGACAAAGCTAGCTAATATATTCTAGAGAGAAGGAGGAGAAGTGGGAAGAAGAGACTAACCCATAACATGGAGGGAAAGCCTTATATTTATAGGGAAAGGGGGATAAGTCTACCCTAATGGGCCAAGTAAGCCGAAAATGGGCCCAAAGGGCCGAAACAGGCCTAATAGGCTGAAATGGACCTTGTCATTCGGGCTTCATGCTGGGGCGATGCCTTGGGCTCCTGAACAGTAATAGGCCGAGATAATATATCTTAACACAAGTCCCCTAGTTTCTTGAGTAGTGAGCGTGCGAATCTGCTCGAGAAAGTATACTCTTGCCCGTGCTCTTCCTGGGTCTTCCTTGGATCCGTGTCCTCGTTCAAGAGTCATCCTCGTCCATGACCGGCGACCGGATTCGAGATCCTCAAACGTTTAGGAGTCATCCTCCTCTACGGTCGATGATCGGGTCCGGAATCCTCAAGGTTCTTGGATAATCCTTGTCCGTGGTCGATGCCTGGATATGGGATTCTCAGTGGTTCGGGTTTGTCCATGGTCAGTAACCGTTTTGGAACACCCAACATTCAATTTTGAGTCATCCTCGTCCGTGATCAACGCCCGGATCTGGAGTCCGTGAACTTTTCTTGAGTCATCCTTGTCCATGGTCAACGACCGGATCCGGAGCCCCCAAACGATCTTGAGTCATCCTCGTCCACGGTTGACGGTCGTGATGCTCGTCTCCCGGCCTTCGGCATCTGTAATACATATATGTAATACATATATTACATATATATATATAGGGAGCGGTTCCGGTAAGAACGGACTCCCAGGAGAGAAATAAGAACGAATCTAGACCGTTAGATTGTATTATGTGGAACTGAGTTGTGCATTTGGTGAAAATGAAATGTGCATTAGATGATATTGAAATGTGCACAGTAAAAATTTAAACTCAAGTGTGCATTAGATGAAACTGAAATGTGCAGAATATAAGATATAAAAATAACATCATATCATACCTTTTATTCTGCACATTTCAGGTTCACCTACCGCACATTTCAATTTCATCTAATGCACAATTCAGCTTCACATAATGTCATTGTATTGTACCCTTTGTGCTGCACATTTCAATTTCACCTAATGCACATTACAGATTCATCTAATGCACATTGAATTTCACTTAAATCAAATCTAACGGTCCAGATTCATTCTCATTTATCTCCTAAGATCATATTCTTATTTGAACCAAAACCTATATATATATATATATATATATATAATGTTCATTATTGTTAAGATTACGCATGTTATTTAATATCACCCTTTTTGTACATGTAATGTGAGATTTAACGTTGACTGAAGCTGAGATTAAGAATTATGTATTGACTGAAATAGAGATGATGTTGAGAAGAATGGGTAAGAGCTTAAAGGACATTCCCACGATAAGTGATGCTACCATGTATCAAAACATACTTATTTTTGACGAATTGCAATATGATCGTGTTGACTTACGTGAAGAGCATGAGAAATGCATACACAGTCTCAATGATCAACAACGTGAGGTCTACACAAACATTATGCAATGTATTGAAGAAAACAATGGTGAGGTATTCTTTGTATATGGTTATGGTGGTACAGGGAAAACGTTTGGGTGGAAAACATTGTCAACTGCATTGAGGTCTAAGGGGAAAATTGTTTTAAATGTTGCTACGAGTGGCAACGCAGCTTTACTATTACTAGGTGGTAGGACAACTCATTCACGCTTCGTAATACCAATCAACCCAAATGAAAACTCCGCATGTAACATCAAACAAGGAAGTCCATTAGC